GGTTGGACATGGAAAGTTGGTTGGGTGGATGTGTGGGTGTGGCCCTTTTAAGCTGGGTATTTGCCGGTGTTGGTATGGGCTCGGGTGTGTAGGTGGGGTCTTTACAGGTTGTTGCCCCAGGGGTATTAAGGGATAACCAATTGAGTGATGTGTGTGGGTGGCCTCTACAGGCCGGAAGAGTGAAAGGTATGGATGTGTGGTTGGTAAAGATTGATTGGTCCCGATACTGAGGTTGAGTAGTGGACATAGGTGAATTGTGAGTGTGTCTAAGAAGTAGCTACGAGTGTGGTAGGAGTATTTCAGTGTTAGTAGGAGTAGTATGTGTAATTGAGTGGATATAGGTAACAAAGTTCTGGGGAAATGACCATCTTAGGGTAGAGATGGGAGAATGAATAAGTGGGAGTGAGGGTCTAAGTGAAGAGTGTTAGGGTGAAAAAATTCTTTGTTTCTATACTGTAGTCTTAAGTTCTATATTTTCTTACTGGGCCTATTGATGCTCATTAATGTTGTTCTCAGATGTGTTAGATGCGAAGTCGAAATCAGAATGCATAGTGATGGAGCCCCACCCTTAAAGAAGGGACGCACGCTAGTATAGGATGCTTGTTTTATACACATGAGTGCACACACTGTACCAACCTTGAAATTATAGTTGTTGTAACATCGAACTATGCGAATTGACTATGTACTCTCTAAATGTTTAATGGACACGAGGTAATTATTACTTTTGATGAATGAAATGATAGAAATTTATTACATGATGGAGAAGGTTCTTGAATTGGGATGATGGGTGGTGGTAATGCCCCATCTTTAGGTTGGGGCGTTATATGTAACACCCTAATTTTTATTTTTATTATTATTATTGGAATTATTATAATTTTATTTTATTTTAATTTTTTTAATTGATTTATTTAAGTAATAATATATAGTTTTAATTTAGTTTAATTTAATTTAATAGAAATAAAAATAATAATAATGATAAAAATGAGTAAAATTATTTTTGGAGTTTAATTGAAAACAATTTTGGGAAAAAAGGGTGAAAATTCGGATTTTGGGGATGTTTTTGAAAAGAAAATCAGAAACCAGGGGTCAAAACGTAATTTAAAAAAATTGTGCCACGTCAGCAGCCCGGTCAGCAATTCTAGCCAACCAGGACACGCCGTGTGGCAGAGACATTGATGCGGGAAGGCCACGCAGAATGGGCCACGTGGGCGATCCGCGTGCGCGCGATCGGACGGTTGAGATCCGTTCCCGCGCGCACGGACGACCCAAATCAAACGCACGCGCGGACAGCCCAGATTGTACGCGTGCGGATGGCCCAGATTGAATCATGCACGGACAGCCCAGATCGTATCGCGATGGACGACCCAGATTTATTTCTAATTTAATCGCGATCGGACAGCCCAGATTAAATCGTGATGGACGGCTCAAATTAAAAGGAAAAGGCTATAAATAATCTCATCCACACCCAACCCCAAACCCTAGCCGCCAGAGCCCTCACTGGAGAAGACAACCTAGCCACTGGAGGAACCGACCGCCGCCACCCGCCCCCGCACCGGAGCACTTTCCGGCTGCCAAACGAGGTTGATCGGAGCAAAACGCCAAATTGTGACTCGCACCGGAGGAGCCGCCGCACTTGAGAGCTCCGCCGCCGGTAAGTCTCGGTTTTCTGTATTTTTTTGGCCCACCGAGGGCCCTACGTATGTTTCCTCACAGGAACTGGTGCTAGTTTGGTTGAATTCGACCAGAAACGGCCAAAAACAGCCAACCCGAGGCAGATCGCCGCCGTGCCAGAATTCTGAAATTGGCCGATGAGGCCCTGGGTCTGATTTGGAGTTTTTTTGGGGACATGTGCAGGTACCGGAAGTGTGTTTCAATTCCCGAAAAAAAATTCAGAGAATCTAGGGACTGCCCGTAGGCATAGTGAAAAACCGATTTTAGACTTTGAATCAAGTAAAGATCACTCACCCTATTTTCTATCACGGCATTAAAGCTTAATAAATGATAAAACGGTATTTTATGAATTAATAGATATGTATAATTAATTAAAGGTTGCTAATGGAGCTCGGATCTGATATATTTTCGGTCAGTTACTGTTTTAGTTATTTTACAGTTTTAAATGCATTATGATATCTGATTTATTTATTTTATAGTTTTGAATGCATGAATTAGTGTTTACTTCACTACTGCTTGATTTTGTGAATCCGATGATATGCCTGCATTATTGAATGCTCGTTACTGGTTTAAATATTCATGATTATGTGAAAAACAGAAAACTAAGAAAAGAATAGAAAAGGTATATGAATTGATAAATGGGTAAGTCGACAGCCTCACTAGATATCCTGAGAGATGGTGGACGGATCGGGTCCATATGAAACCCTACCGGAAACGTTGTCTCTCATACCGAACGGGATATGAAGATTTTAAATGTTTTGGCGCTCATACCGGATGGGGTATGGGGACGGCCTGCTTCACCTTCATATCGGACAGGATATTGAGGTTTATCGTTTTGGCGCCCATACCGGACGTGATATGGGGACCGCCCTGGAATTAAGTTGTTAAAGTGAATGGTTCACATGTAGCGGGGACCCCTATGGATCCCCATGGATACTGGTAGGCTGATAAAAGAGGAAATTTATTGACTGATGATTGAAATATTAAAAGTATAACATGTGTTATGTTACAGAGTGCGTATGATTTCATGATATTATAATGTTATTATTTTCATAAGTTGTTTTCATGAATCTCACCGAGATAAGTGGACAGTAAAGAGTTTTATTATTGAACAATGAATTTGTTATAAATTATCTTCCATTGATCGTTTTTGTTTTCTACCAACCTTTACTTCTGTGATAGTGAGATAGTGTGACATCTTTATTGGGCCAGTATAGCTCATTCCTTACTTAACCATTTCAGATCAGGAGGACTTGGTTCTCGAGCTCGTTCCGCAGGAAGACGGTGAGTAGATGCCTAAATATTTTATAGTTTTCCTTATAGTATTCATTTCTAGTATTTACTTTAGTTAGCTTATTTTTCATACATTTAATATGTTTTGGTTATTGTGTAAGGGATGTTAATTATAATATTTTATTTCGCTTCCGCACTTAAAATTTTATATATGCGTTTCCTTTTAATTTCCAGAACCGTTACATTATATGTTAGCACTTGCTTTTTGTTTGGTGTTTTTCATTCTTAATTTTATTTACTTGTTTTTGAAGAGAATGATTTTGATAAGAGAAGGTTTTTATAATGCAAATTTGCATTATTAACTCCAAACTTTTTTCTTCTTCAATGAGTTAATATAAAAATATTTTTATGTGCAATTTGAAAGTAAAACGTACATAGAAATGAAAATAAAATCGTATTCTATAGCTTTAAAAAGAAAAAAAAAATAACTTAATTTTTTAAGAATGCCATATATGACGAATTTAAAACCAAAATATTTTTATATTTAAAAATATTAATGATATCTATAATATATCTATTAAGTAATTACAATATTATTATATTGTGATCAATATGAGGAAATTGATATGAATAGTGAGTCTTAATTATGTGCTTAGTTAGTATGATTAAATGAAAATAAATATACTTAAGGGGCTATTAGTTAAAATAAATTAATCTTGGTGAAATGATTTAACTTATAATATTATATCTTATAACAACATTTAATAGTGATGCACATATATTTATGTAATCTAATGTGTAATCATTTTAAGTTGTAGTTAATTTTTTAAAATCATTAAAAAGTATTTTAAGTTGAGAATTATAATATTAAACTTCATTTCATATTCTTTTTTTTTTTTTTTGTGAGATTACTTCAATACTTGATTGTATGCATATATTCCTTATTATGTTCATATACGTATATGAAAACTTTTCAATTCTTATTTATGTAATCTAAAATAATTAATACAAACATTTTTAACAAATCAATATGAAAAAATCTTTGAATTTTTAAAAATTTATGTAGATGGTCAACCTTATTAAGTGGCTAAATTTTGTTGTATTTAATTTAGTTTACTTATTCTCTCTAATTAAGTTGATTAGTATGTTAGTTTTCTAATTATTATTTTTAATTAAATTTTAATTTCAAACAATTATGTAATTATACATATTATGATTGTATTTGGTTTGATGTCTCTCTCAGTTAGAGGTTAATAACGTTAAATCTGTAGGTTCCATGTTACATCACATCATTTTGTGTAATTTAATTATATTAGTTTATTACAAAATATAAAAATTACTCTAAACATTCTTTTTCTTTTTTCAAATGATAACTTTCTGACCGTACCAGTTAGACTAATGAAAGGGGATGGGAGCAACAAACCATATATATATATATATATATATATGTTTTTAATATATGATGTCATATGGCATTAATAACACAAGTAAGATAATAAAATAAAAATTAATTTCAATGGTTTAAAATTAAAAAATTAAACAGTGAAAAAAGCTTTGTGTTTGCTCAATAATATTACCGTACTAACTTTTCTTAATATTGAATAAGAATGTTTTTCAATTTGTAATTAAATATATTAAATTTAAATATGATCCGATCAAGTTGAACTAAAAATTGATTAAATATAAATGTTAAGATGGAAAGTTAGACCAGAATATATTAAATTTGAATACGTTCTAATCAAATTACACCAAAAATTAATTAAATATAGAAGTTAAGATGAAAAGTTGGACCGTAATATATTAAATTTGAATATAATCTAATCAAATTAAACAGAAAACTGATTAAATATGAAAGTTAAGATGAAATAAATATAAAAAATAAATATCTCTGGAGTTTGACCTATTCTCGATTTAGATGCATAAACAAATTAAGCTAAAATAATTAAAGTCATTCAACTTAATTCAAAAAATTTTAAAAATTAAAATATTATAAAATTTAAGAATATATGATAATAATATATAAGAAAATAGAAACAAATAAGAGAAGAATATAAGAAAGTGACAAAAAGTTTTTCTTCAAATTCATCATACAATAAAATTTGTTAGAACTTACTATTTATAAGATTGCATAAAATCATATATTAAATTAAAATATAAATTATAAATTATGAAAAAAAAAGGTAAGAGATAAGATGTGTGGACATCAATACACTCATTAAATGTGAAGTGTTTATAATAAAATTAAATTAACTTGTCATTAATAAAATAAATAAATGATAGGTACTTTTAAAAATATGGTTAAAAACTAATTAATCAAATTAATTAAAAATATCTCCCCGACAAACCCGCCCAAATGGTTTGTCTAGTCATCACGTGATTGAGCCGGCAAAAAAAAAAAAAAAAATTGTTTTGTTTTGCCCGAACTGCCCGCCTGCTATAAAAAATGATGTCATCTGCCCGATTTGACTGAATTGCACAGATCGCGTTCTTCCATATCAACGTATATACATCGAATTAAATTCATTTACAAATTTTTCAAAAATTTTGAACAGACGTTGCATTCGATGTTGGCAGGTGGATTAACATTATTGCAGATTTATTGCCATACGAGGAATCCTCGTCCTTGTCCGTAATCTCTCGCACTTGGATACTTTCTTCCTCCCTCCTCATATACAGTACCCAGGGCACTTTCACTGATAAGCTACAAACAGTCTCTTTGTTTACTCTGATATACATTTGCCATGTATCTCTCCTCTCCCTGCAAGCTTGGCTTTTCCTCTTCTCCTTCTTCTTCTTCTTCTTCTTCTTCTTCTGTAGCAGGTTTAATCTCTTTCACTCTCGTGTGTTTTTCTACAATGGTTTCTGGGATCTTTACCCTTTAGCAGCACGTAATCGCACATATCTGAACTTACTTGAAATGGGTTTCTTCATTTTCAAGTGCCTGATACTAATTCTTCCTATGCATTCTTGATTTCTTTGTTCTCAAGGATGATTTAGCGGAATTGCAAAGTAATCAGGGTTTTCATTTAGCTTGAGTTTGAGACTGTAGTTTCCTGTCAAACTATAATGGACTAATCTTGTGTGTTAACTGAATGCGTGTTGGAGTATAGAATTGTGATTCTGAATTTCACTTTCCCATGGCGGTTTTACGTTTTTTTTTTTTTTTTTTTTCTTTCGTAAATAGTTCTGAAGATTAATTTAATCCAATTGTAATTCCCGCTAGGTAAGTCAAAGTTTCAGTTAGACTTGGAGATTGCGTACTATTCTTTTGTTCTCAAGGATAATTTAATGGAATTGTAACTTTCACTAGGCAAGTCAAAGTTTCAGTGGATTATTGTGTTTTTCACACTTAACGGATATAGAACTGTGACTGAGTTTTTAAATTTTATGAGGTTCTTTCTATTTCTTTTTCTTTTCTTCTTGTCACCTTATTTATTTATATTTTAACTCCAAGGTAAACCTGTCTGAAGTCTTGGCATTACTTAGGGTTGTTCCAATTGTAATGCTCTGTTCTTAGTTTGATAAAGTCAGTGTGTTGTATCATCATTCTAACAACAGATAGCGAGAAATCTTTCATAATCTAGATCTATGGCCAATAAGTTATTCTGGAGAAATTTTTATGCATCCCGTTTTATGTGGGAATCGGGTATTAATGGTTAAGGTCGCATTACTGGACAATAAAGTTTCTGGTGGGATGTCTTGAAGTGCATGACATGACTTTCATTTCCTAACAAAAGGAAAGCTTAAGCTATCCATGTTTTTTCAGGATATTTTATCCTTTCTTTCCATCAGAAAGACGTTTAGAATTACAGCAATTATTTTCTGAATTATAGGACTTTGCAAAAAAAGGGGGGGCTCTGCATTACATGTTTTCTCTTCTCCATGCATTTAATAATGATAAATGCATAAACACCTGACTGCATCAAAAATTATTTACGCCTGAGGGCAAGGTTCCATTGAGGCACTTAGAAATTAAATAGGAAAATTTTATAAAGTGGAGGCTTCCTCATCATCTATTTTTTGTTCCTTTTAATTTCTGCATTTTTCAATTTGTCATGTATAAAACAACTT